GCCTCCTCCTCCTCTCAAGGTGTCGGGTCGTCGGATGTCCTCGCAGCACAGGACACTCGCGAAAAACACTCGCGAATTATTATAATCGCGCGCGGACTAATTTTTGCTGCCCGTGAAAATATCAAGCTCCGTCGGTCCAGTCAGCACCCGAGTCGGTGAGCTTTTTCGGGACACACGGTAACTCTTCAAGCAAAGGCTAGGACCGAAGCGAAGAAGACGAATCGACTGACTTGAATCCGACGTCTCTTGTTTCTTAGAAATTACGTTTAAAATTGACTCAACCATCGCATAGCCAACGGTTCAGGTCGAATCACCAGGGCGGATATCATACACGTGATATCAAAAGTCACCCGGGCTATCGAGAAGGCTGGTAGATGTGACGAGAGAGAAGGTACCCACCGCCGATGCCTAACAATCTAGACAATCGGACAACTGGGATCCAGCCTCTCGGCACACGCGATAACCGCCCGAACTAAGCTCTGATCGAGTCAGATTAAACGCGATTTGTTTAGGAAGGGAAAGGGTAAGGTACTAAGGAAGGGAAAATAAAGGCCGTTGGCGATTAAATAATCGCACGCGACACATAGGAGCCCTTTCACGACTCGTGGCAATGCTGTGTCGAAAATGAGAATAGTCCGCGCGCTCCAGACTAATACGCGCTTATATAATCGCGTATGTTAGTGCACGAAACGCACGCGCCACATAGGAGCCCTTTCACGACTCGTGGCAATGCTGTATCGAAAATAAGAAATCAAGAGAATAAGCGACGAAAACAAGTCAGCCGATTGAAATCTTACTCGATTGGGACCGAACCACTTGTCGAAGACAGAGCGTGTTCTCAATTAGCCGTTTAATGCAGATTGCAACTGTGCGAAACACAACACATCAAGCGGTAGCGAGTGCGTGTAACATTCACAGCCGGCATCACCAGTGCCGCGGCGCACGTGGCGTGAAGACGTAGCCGACTACGCCTCAATGAGATCCCGCGCTCCCTGCACTCCTTGACAGTGCGACTCGACCGACTCGAACTATGATATTTCTCAAACTCAGCCCTCGCAGAGCGAGGAAAAGTCTTTTAGTCCGATCACTGGTACGGCACTCCCGAAGCAAACGCGCGACGCGACGAACTGGCTGCAGTTCGTTCATTCATAATTAAATCGGCGGCGGAATGTCGGTTAAAAACCGACGATTATAATTAATGCGTCAAACGCATCAATTAAGTTTGCCACATAAGAGCCATTTCACGACTCGTGGCTATGCTGTATTAGTATATTATTAATAACAGTGATATTACTTAACGTTAATATTAATGTTACTAATAATAGTGCAACTAGGTACTAGTTAGCTTCTTCGTTTTTGGGGTACATACTCAAGCAGCATAAGTTAATCGGCAAATCATTTCGCCGATTAACAGTACTGCTTAAATAACCCCTCGGAATACTGAGCCCCTCTGCCACGTCAAGGCCGTACCCATTAGAGGGGTATTATTTACAAAAAGTTATGAATTTCAAAGGAATAAGTCGCGAAATATAT